GCCCAGGGAATGGGGGTGGAGCAATCCCAGGCTCAGCCTCCATGCCCCAAGCCCTTTCTCTGAGGGCCACTTTGGGAGAAATCTGTGACACCACCCCCTAATCCAAGTCCACCTCCCCAAACTGAAATTTGTGCAAAAGACAAGAGGAGAGGGGGCTCTAGGGTTGACCTGGGACCCTGGGCCTTACTGCTTTAGGAGACTCTCCAGGGAAGTACCCCATACCCTCGAAGCCAGTCAGGCATTAATGCAACAAGCATTTATTGAGCACCAACTCAATAAGGCCTGTGTGAAACACTGGACTATTGAGATATATTCACCACCATAGTCAACTCAGGAAGACACATGGCTAAATGGATCGTCTTAAAGGGTACCAATGCTAAAGCTGCCCTGCCTGGGGAGGTCAGTGAAAGCTCCCAGGAGGAGGTGTCCATCCAGGAACCATATGACAAAAGAGAGACTCAGGGACCGGCGCTGATCAGGAAAGGAGAATTCTATCGAAAAAATGGGCTCAGAAGCCAGAAGTCAAAGGTTAGGAGGCAAAGGTTACTCTTCTCTCTTGGAGCAAAGGAATAATCCGGAAGGGCCTGGCTTTGCTGAAGGACTGGCAGGTCTGCTCCATCGCCCTTTGTCCTGTGTTTGGGGGAGAAGGTCAAGGGTGCGGCAGGAGTCTGACTGAGGAATCTCAGCATCACACCGGGCTCCATGGGCATGTGCCCACCCATCTCTGGGTGGGGCCCAGACCAGAGTGAGAGCCCAGGGCACAGCAAAGGAAGTCAGAGAATCCTGGTCTGGTGCCTGAGGTCAGGACAGGAGGTCAGCAGGGAGGAGGGGCTACACCTCACTGGTCCTCCCGCCCCCTCCCCCGTGGCACCACGAGGCACGCAGCCGCATATCACCCGTGCCAGCCCTCACCTCCCGGCAACGTCGCCGCATTCTCAGCCACGCCATCTGGCATGCCCGCCGCTCCCCAGAACACTGCAGCGGGCGGGGGAGGGGGCAGCGGGGCAGGTGCCCACCCCAGAGCCAGCCGGAAGCGGCAGGTCCCCCTCCCCCAAGATCCTTTAGGACTTGAGACGGGGCAGGGGGCTGGGGAAGGAGGTGGCAGGTGCTCTTATGCTTCAGGAGGAAGCTTCGAGCATCCCCAACTGATGGAACAGGCACCGCCCGGGTAGTGCCAGCCTGCCCCCTCTCCTTCCTCCTCCCCCCACAGCACAGCTAGTGCCAGGACACAGGCCCTCGGAGGACCTCGCAACCCCTGCCCTTCGCCTCCAACGGCCAGTGGGGGTGAGGCCGCCCCTCCTCGGGCTCCCGCTCTCACTGCCGCCGGCCCACCTAGGCCCGGAGGCCCCAGAGGGTGGATTTATGGCCGTGGCCCCGGAGTGGACACCTGGCTTCTAATCCACCTGCTCCCCACGCCTTGGCACCTGGGTGGGAAAGCGGGGCTCCTTCTCCGGCACACTTGCCCCCACCCATCTTATTTGGGGCAGGGTGGCGGCCGCGGCTCTGGCGAGGTGTCCTGGGCATCAGAATGGAGCGGAGCCTCTGCAGAGTTACGCGTGTATGTGTTTATTTTGGGGGAGCAGGGGTGTCATGAGAGCGGCTTTGCGGAAGGGTCACCCGATCCCCGGAGCAAGTCGGGCCCAGGCTGCTCGGAAGGCCCGCGGGCCTGGCTGCACAAGATGGCCGCCGCCCTCCCAGCAGCCATCTGGGGGCCGGACTGTGGCCTCGGCGGTCTCCATGGGAACCTGGGCCCGAGCTCCCAGTCCCCGGGGGTGGGGTGGGGTGGGGGTGGGCAGCCGAAGTGGGCGCCTCCCTGGCCTGGCGGAGGTGCCGCCATTCCCCTTTCCCTCTCAGAACCGGGGACTAGGCCCCTCACCAACTCCCTTCCCCCAGTGCCAGGGGGAGGAACAGATGGCATCTCTGGGTGTCCTTCTCCTCCGTCTCCTTCCTTCCATTTCTGGCTCTTTCTGTCTGTCTGTCACTGCATCTCTGCATCTCTGGGTACGGAGAGGAGCACGTCCCTGGGCGGTCGTGCCTGCTCGTGGCCGCCACGTGTGTGGTACCTCTTTCAAGCTCATGTCTGAGGCGGGCCCATCCCACACCTCCCTCTGTTCCAATTTTCCCGTTTTTGTTTTTTTTTATTGTATCTTCTAAAAAAAAGTTGAAATGTGTTGAGTGAGAAAAACTTGTTCCATTTTTCTGAAGAAAGAAAAGACGGGGGCAGGAAGCAGACTGATAGGGACGAAGGTCCCCATACTCCCAGGCATACTCCCAGCCCACCCCCTCAGGCCTCCTACTCTGAGGGGGCCTTCTCAGACCCACAAAGCCGAGGTCATCCCTGACAGGAGACAGGAGGGATGGAAGGACCTCCCAAGGGTTCTATCCTAAGCAAGGTTCTGCCTCCTGTCTCCTGTCTGGGGGCTTGACCTGAACCTGTGTCCAAAGGAGGGGGCAAACAATGCTTTCTACCCTAAGGCAGCATTCATTCCTGACATATCCATTCATTCACCCATTCATTCAACAAAAATTCACTTCCTATATAGGCAAAGCATTCTAAATGTTGTGGGGGTGGGGGCAGTATGTGCATGAAATTAATATTGTAAAGCATGTTACCATTTACAAGGTGCTTTAATAAAAATGAGAGCTGGCATTTACTGAAGGCTCACTATATTGTTGGCCCTGTGCTAAACTCATTACATGTGTTATCCCATTTAGTACTAACGACAGCTCTATGAGGTGTAGCATAATTATCCCCATTTTATAGATGGGAAAATCAAGACGATAAGACATTAGGAACTTGCTCAAGGTATTCAGCATTCTTTAAAGCTGGTAAGTGGGGTTGGCCAGGAAAGCATGTGCAGGTAACCAAATGTCATACAACTGGGGAGCTCAAGAAGGGCCACATGTCAGGACTGAAGACTCTACCCTCAGTAAAGGGACAGTAAAGCTCTTTAACTTGAATAGGGTCCTCGCCAGCATACTTGAGTCTCTGCCCCCCCCAGAGGCCTATCCTTTGGGCACTCTCTCTGCCATGGCTCGAATGCCTTAGGCAGACTCAGGATCCATGAATGGAGGAAAACTCACTATCAGCTTCTCATACTGGAAGGCCACTGAGGCAGATTGTGGGGCTGTATATAGAAGGAGTACAGGGCTGGGAGTAAAGTCCCAGGCTTCTGCTCCCCACTTGTGTGTCCTAGGCAAGTCAGTTCCCCTCTGTGGGCCTCTGGGAAAGGAGTTGGGATTCTTTCTGAGTCTCCTGGTTCCCACCAAGTGCCTCCGAGAACTTCAGACAGCACCAGCCCCCCTTCTCCAAGGCCTTCTTAGCCATTGCATGTGCCTCTTATTTGAACTAAATTCATTCTACCACACATCAGATCAGTGTCCTACCAGCCCAAGAACCTCTCCGGAGGCTTCTAGAGGGAGAAAACTGAATCTGAACAGACTGAGGGTAAAGTCCCCATCTTTGCAGCACTACAATGCTTGGCACATGGTTGACATCAAAGTGTGTGTGTGCTTAAGGTATAATGGAAGTTGTCTGTACATATGTATTCTGGAGGGTGGGAAGAGGGACAGGTAATGTGGGTCTGAAACACACAAATGCCTGAATCAGGGTGTGGGCAAGGGTCTTTCTACACCTGGCTATGATTACCTGCTCACACACAGGTATATATCTGAGTAGGGATGTGTATCCATTTTCTGCACCACAGGGTGAGGAACAGGTGTGTGTGTGTGTGTGTGTGTGTATCTAAAGTTACCTCCCTCAACTCATGCCATTCGTATCTGTGTCTGGCCCAGTGACAGCCAGTGATAGTTGGTTGAAAGGTGAGCTGTAAGATAAGACAGCGATTTCCTACCTTTCTTATCAAGACACCTGTCTGACCCACCTCCCTTTGGTCACTCTTAGGACTGCTGGACTTGGCTTCAGTATTTTCAGTATATTTTGTGCAGGGGGAGGAGAATGTTTGAGGCTTCTCCCAGAACTTTAGGCAATTCCCAGCCCAGCCCCTCCCCCTTCAAATAATGGAGTCAGAAGGTCAGGAAAGAAAGATGCTGGTGGGATGGTCACTTGTCCAGCAGGGGGAGGGGATGTTGGCAGGTGAGGAGTGAGAGGTTTCTGGGTTAGGAATCCAGACTGAGACCCTCTCCTCCATCCCCAGATGGTAGGTGCAGAGGCTCATCCCAGGGATTCCTTTCTACTCCACCCTAACATAATATACCCCCATACACACAAGGAAACCTCTCCCATCGGCTGACTCCACAGATATATACGCATGTCCCCACAGACACACACACGCCCATGCAGAGGCACAGACATCCAGGCAAGTCTCTCCTTTTCTCTGCCTTTCCCTTGGTTTGAATTTCGTTCAGCCACATATGTTGTGTGTGCATGAGGGTGGATGGGGGAGGGGCAGACAGGGATGAGGGATGGCATGGTGCCAACATCTACCTATGGGGCTTGGGCCAGGGACGCCCCCCACACCCACCCTGGGAGGGGGCCTCAGCTGTCCTTTTGTGGCCAAGGGGATTCTCCTGGGGGGGGGGGCAAGCATAGAGGTCCCTTTTCCAGACTTGAGGGTCTGGCCCCTGACCCACCTTTGGGGGCCTGCAAGGGAAAAAATGGACAGAGCAGAACCCCCGAAGGGAACAAAAAACTGGGGGCCACCACAACCCCCCAATTTTCAGTCTTGCCACCCCATTGTTCCCATGTGGGGGGCTCTATATTCAAGGGGGGCAACTCCTCCCACCTCCCTCTCAATCCCTGCTTTCCCTGCGTTGGGCGGGGAGGGGAGGGCGGCAGAGATATTTATTTATTTCCTTTATTTATTTAATTTTTTTTTTTTTTTTTTTGGAGTAGAGAGTGACAGATGGCGGCGGGTCCCGGGGGAGCCGGCTCTCCCCCAATGCAGACGCATGCCAATCACCGTCTCTCATGTGATAGCTGCTGCCCGTGACGTGCCAAGCCCATATGGCCTGGCATAGAGGCTGGTACCCCGCCTGGTAGAGATGCCACACTCGCTCCGCGGTTCGCATGGCGCTCTGAAGACGCCGGTGCCCGCCGCCTTGAGGAGCCGCTGCCCCCGCTCCCTGAAGATGGGGGAACAATGAACTAAGCGAGAAGATTCCTCTTCTCCCCCCTCTCTCTCTTGCCCCCCTCCCCCACCCCTCCCCTCTCCCCTTGACTCCTCTCCGAGGTAAGTTGTCCGAGAGGGAGCTAGATTTGACCCGCCGGTTGAGGGGGGAGGGCGGCTGCTCCAGCCGACAGGAGGGTCCCCAAATCTCCCCTTCCTGGGAGATGCCCCCTCATGGGGTGGGCATCGGAGGCGCCCCGGGGTCCCTCTCCCCTAGGGACTGCAGCTCAGGGGGCTATTGAGGGAGGCGTCTCTGCCTGCGATGGGCTGGGGTGGGAAACAGGACCATGGAGGGGCCGTGAAGAGGCTAAGATGGGACCACCCCCATGGTTGTCCCGGAGGAACCTGCGACCTTTCCCCACTACCAAAAAGAGAGCGAGCGAGAGAGAGAGAGAGAGAGAGAGAGAGAGAGAGAAGCAAACAAATTTGGATTTTTTCCCATCAATCCCGAAATACAACGAGATCAGAAAAGCTATGTGGGAGGGAGGCAATTTGAAGGGGGGCAGGGGGTCCCTGACCGCAGGGGAGACGGACGGGGCTCGCTTCTTTCAGTCTCCTCCCCACGCCCGGGTTCCTCAGTCCTCGCCGCCCGGAGCCGGCTCCGAGAGCTGGGGACGCACCGCTAGAGGAGACGATCCTCCCGCCTCTGGAACTGGGGCTGCGGGGGTGGGGGCCGAGCTGAGGGCGGCGCGCGGCCAAGTTGCAAATTGGATTAGGGAGCGTAGGGGTGAGAGCCACGGGAGGGGTGGGGAGCCCGGCCGAGGGGCCGGGGCCGCCAGAGCCGCAGAGCGGGGCAGCTGTCCCCACCGGCAGTCGCCCAGCCTTCCTCACCGGCAGGAGAGAAGAGGCTTTCAGGGAGAGTGCGCCGTCTCCCCCGGCGAAGATATCTGTCCCTTAAAGCCCCTGTTCGGTCCTTGTCTTGACCCCGGCAAGACCCAAGCGTGGGGAGCGGCCCATCATTCGGGCGCGGGGCGGAGCCGGGGCCCAGCGCGGGGGAGAGGGCCTGTGGCTAGAACCGGGGCGGGCGGGCGGCCGCGCCGAGGTTGGGTCGGCTCTGGGCGGGGCAGGCAGAGGAGGTGGGCATCCAGGGCCCCCTGGAAGGGAACCGGCACTGGACTTGGGTGGGGGGAGGTGGGTGAGGGAAGGCGTTAAGACCCCAGTGTGCCCCTCACTATGTGCTATGTCTCCCCTTCCCGCCCGCGGGGCGCCCTCAGGCACCATGCTGACCCGCCTGTTCAACGAACCCGGTCTCCTCTCGGACGTGCCCAAGTTCGCCAGCTGGGGCGACGGCGACGACGACGAGCCGAGGAGCGACAAGGGCGACGCTCCGCCGCCGCCCCCGCCGCCGCCGGGGCCCGGGGCTCCGGGGCCCGCCCGGGCAGCCAAGCCAGTCCCTCTCCGTGCAGAAGAGGTGCCCGAAGCCGCGCTGGCCGAGGTCAAAGAGGAAGGCGAGCTGGGAGGCGAGGAAGAGGAGGAAGAGGAGGAGGAGGAAGGACTGGACGAGGCAGAGGGTGAGCGGCCCAAGAAGCGCGGGCCCAAGAAGCGCAAGATGACCAAGGCGCGCCTGGAGCGCTCCAAGCTGCGGCGGCAGAAGGCGAACGCGCGGGAGCGGAACCGAATGCACGACCTGAACGCGGCGCTGGACAACCTGCGGAAGGTGGTGCCTTGCTACTCCAAGACACAGAAGCTGTCCAAGATCGAGACGCTGCGCCTAGCCAAGAACTACATTTGGGCGCTCTCGGAGATCTTACGTTCGGGCAAACGCCCGGACCTGGTGTCCTACGTGCAGACGCTGTGTAAGGGTCTGTCGCAGCCCACCACCAACCTGGTGGCCGGCTGCCTGCAGCTCAACTCGCGCAACTTCCTCACCGAGCAGGGCGCTGACGGCGCGGGCCGCTTCCATGGCTCTGGAGGCCCGTTCGCCATGCACCCCTACCCGTACCCGTGCTCGCGCTTGGCGAGCGCACAGTGCCAGGCGGCGGGCGGCCTGGGCGGCGGCGCGGCGCACGCCCTGCGGACCCATGGCTACTGTGCCGCCTACGAGACGCTGTATGCGGCGGCGGGCGGTGGCGGTGCGAGCCCGGACTACAACAGCTCCGAGTACGAGGGCCCTCTCAGTCCCCCGCTCTGTCTTAACGGCAACTTCTCGCTCAAGCAGGACTCGTCACCCGACCACGAGAAGAACTACCATTACTCTATGCACTACTCAGCGCTGCCGGGTTCGCGGCCCACGGGTCACGGGCTGGTCTTCGGCTCGTCCGCGGTGCGCGGGGGCGTCCACTCCGAGAATCTCTTGTCTTACGATATGCACCTTCACCACGACCGGGGCCCCATGTACGAGGAGCTCAACGCGTTTTTCCATAACTGAGACCTCGAGCCCGCCCCTTTCTTTTTCTTTTGCCTTTGCCCGCACCCCTGTCCCCAGCCCCCCGAGCGCAGGGGCACCCCCACCTACCCTGGCGCCGGGCGCGGGGTGCGGACCGCCGATCCCGCCGCTCTCTTGGGCAGCGAGGTCCTCTTAACAGTGGGTGGCCCTCCCAGGGGCCTCGTTTCCCCCAGGGGACTCGCCTTCTCTCTCTCTCTCTCTCTCTCCCCCCCCAAGGGGCTCCCTCCTCCTCTTTCCCACGGAGTTCTTCTCCAGGGATCCTTCTTTGGGCACTCCCTGGTGACCTCCCCCCAATCCCCATTCACTACTCTTAGGCTTCCTTTTCCCTTTTCCCCTGCAGACCCCGAGGAATTGGTAAGGGGGCAGCTGAGCTGTGGGAGAGTTTTCCCCACCTCATGATTATTACTGCTTTTAAAACAGACACCGAGCTGCCGAAGCAGAAGGGAGCCGGGCGTCCCCTCTTTCCTGAAGAGGGCATTAGTCAGGGTGCCCAAGCCTGGACCTGGACCGCCCTCACCCCCAATCCTTAGTCTCAGCATTTTGTGATTTTAATTTGATGGGAGGGAATGTGGATTGAAAGGAAAGAGAGAAGCCAAGACAATTTGTAACTAGTATCCATTTTTCCCTTTCCCTTTTTTAAAACAAACAAACATTAAAAAAAAAAAAAAAAAAAAAAAAGCTGAGAGGCGACGGAGGCCGAACGCAAAGTCCGGATCGGAGAGAAAACGCAGTAAGAACTTTTAGAAGCAATAAAAGGCAAAAAATACTACTACCAATAATAAAAAGACACAAATATCTATGCAAGGAGGTTCTGACTGAGCCTATCGGCCTGGCCCGGCCCCGGGATACCCCTCCCGGCCCGCGGGCTGCGCCGCCCAGGCGCGGATCTGTGCACTTTGGTGATGTGGGGGCCGGCGCCGCCAGCTCCTTCTCCCCAGGTTCTTACAATCAGTGACTCGGAGATTTGGGGCCCCAGTGCAACTGCCCTCCCCCCGCCCCGTCCCCGTTGTGCGTCATGCTGTTTTTTAAAAACCTGTTTCCAAATTTGTATGGAATGGCAAACTGTTGGGGGGGGTCGGTTGGGGAGGGAGGGTTTGCATGAGAGACACACACGCACACCACACCGCACGCACACACAGGCCGGGCGCGGGCGTCCGGGGGCTAGGGAGGAGGGCTCCAGAGCTCCCCTTTCCGCAGGCACCTGTACCCCTTCCCGTGGTGAGGGTGGAGGCCAAGATCTGGGGGCAGCCCCGCCCCAGCCCGACTGTGCCCACGGTGGGCACCAGACACCCAGCGATTTCCGGTGGCTGGAGTAGGGGATTTTGTCCGAGTTGTCCTCTTGGCTCGGGCTGGCAGGAGGGCTCCTTCTGGAGGCTTCCCAAGAAGGATAAAAGAAGAACCTTTCCCCACCGGAGGCAGGAGATCAGGCATCCAAACGCATGGTGCAAAATGCAAACCCACAGGCGACACACCCACACATTCACCCACACACTCACACGCAATTTTACCTTCCTCTTGTAGCGAAGATTAAACTCCCGTCGGACACCCGAAGTGCATTGCGTGTTTCTGTTCAGTTTAATGACGATTAATAAATATTTATGTAAATGAGATGCAAAGCCGGACCGGTTTCTCAGGGTGACCTCATTTCATGCCAGAGATTGAGCTGGGGCTCTGGGTGATGGAGACAGTCAAGTGACTGTGCAGAGGCCAGGTACAGGGACCCTGGACATAACTGGGTAGGATTCCCACCCTCCAAATCCCCTCACACCCACCCACTGGGCTCCAAAACAGCTACACTTGCTGCCCCTCCCAGACCTTACACAGACACACACGCCCCCAGTACAAAGAATTGCACTAATCTCCTTACACTCCCGCTCCCAAACATGCACACGCACCTCCATTGAAAAAAATATATCTTTTCATCATTGAAAAATGACAAGATTAGGAGCAGCCAGTTATTTTACAACCCTCTGCTCACAGTCACAAAAAACAAGTGTGCAAGGATAAAGAGACAATCATTTAAGTCAGACGGATATTTTTAAAATTTAAAAGTATAAGGTCATGAAGATAAAATATTAATGGAGGAAGTCTTTTCCATCTTAAATATGTGTTTCGATGGACTCAGAGAAATGGGTCATTTTTTAGCTTCAGGAATGTTGAAATTTGTTAGGGTGTTGAGGTCGACAGAACATTCCAGAACTCTATGAGGGTGTCTAAGTCTAGGCACCCACCAGGTAGAGTGGAGCTTGACCTAGCCACGAGCTTCCCTTAACAGGGCAGTGGGAATGCCGCTGGTACACAGCCTCCTTCTGGCCTGATGAAGCTTCTCACAGAGGGAAGTCCTCAACCTAGGAAGGCAGAGGAAGGACACCGAAGAGGAGCCTGTCCTGCCCGAGCCGCTTCCCCACCTCAGACAAGGTAGCCTCACCATTCTCTTTCTCTGAGCCTCAGGGGCAGAGACATCTCTGAATTGACTTCCCTGAAAGACCCCCCCCCCATTCCAGTGCCCACTGGATCCCTGGAATATTTGGAAAGGGAGCTTAGTCCTAAAGACCCCCATTCCAAAGCTTAAATACACTTAGGAGTACTGGAACCCTGCTGTTTCTAACGCAGCTTACTTAAATTATTTTTTAAAAAATATTGTTGCTCGGTTTGGGTCTGCAATAGGGGCTGTAGCGTGGGTTTGGGGTTGAGGTCAGGCGTGCTCAGGCTTTTAAAGATTGTATCCAAAATCCCAAAATGACAGTTTCCTGACAAAAGTGGGAAAGAAAAGGTAGCTGAAGAAGGAAACCCTAAAGGGGTGGATCAGATTATACTGACCTTCAGCTGGGCGGCTCCCCTAAATGACCAAACTCTCTCAGTCTCAGTAGAGAGGATGCCCTCCCTCCTCCACCTCTGGACGGTTGCTTTTGGAGCAGGGCCCCGAACCGGGAGCTGTCCGATGATCACGGGTGCTGACTCTTCGTGCAGCCTCGCTCCTTCTCTCCGCAGAGGGAGGCCGCACCAGCCCAACCCCCGGAGCACTGAACCGCGTGAGGCCCTTCCCAAGGACCTGTCGGAATTCTGGGCTGAATTCTCCCCATTTTTCCGAAAATTTCACTGTAATTCTTTAAAAAATTCACCGCCTTCTCTGGAATTCTTATAAAATCACCTCTATAGAGTGAGATTAAGAACTGGGCCACCATCCCCAAAATCTGTCGCTGTCGGTAGTCTGAGGGGGGTCTTATCGACCTCAGAATCACCCCTATTCTTGGGAGAAAGGAGTTAACCCACCTTCTTTCTCCATCACTTATTGCGTGGAATATGGAACAAGGAGCACATCTTAGGCCAAATCTGAAGGAGTCCGGTCTGCTCGTGTCATGGGGCAAGGCCAGGCAGGGGTAACGAGAAAAAAGTAACTCAGCACCCATCCTGAGGCCTGAGTCTTAACCTGTCCTGGGAGCAAGGTTAATTGAGCTGCCCTCCTCTTAGCCGATTTCTCATAACCCTCTCTGAAGTCCTGGGCTGGGCAGCATCCAAGTGGCTTGGGACTGGAAGTAAAAGGCCCCTCTATGTAGCTCCCCTGCTCAGATCACAGACTCCTAAGTTTCACTCTTCCAGCTACTTCTTGCGGCTCATTCTGTTTCCAAAGCCCGATTTCAGCCCTTTTTGAGGGATATTGATGACTCTTGGGTCATTGTGTTTGTGGTCACTTCAGGTGGGTGGGGTGCGTGGGCCCCTTTTAGGGTGGGAATCCTGAGTGCCTGGCATTTCCCCCCAATTCCTGACCCTTCCCCCACACTCTCTGCACTCTGGCTGCACTCTATCCTCCCATTGCCCTCCTCCCTAACACTTAACTTCCCTGGTGAGATGGTGAGATGAGCAGGAGAAGAAGATGTGTGTGGACACAAGGCCCCAAACTCCCCCTTGTAGGTCTCTTTCTCTTGCTAGCTCTCCTGCTTGTGTGCAGACACAGGAGAAGCTCCAGGAACAGAAGGAGTGGGGGGGGGGTGGCGAAAAGAGGCCAGAATGGTGGAAGGGAGAGGGCTGGGGAGAAGTCACAGAACGGACTCCCTCCTTGCCCTAGCCTGAGCAGCAGGGACCTCCAAGCATGCACCAACTGGCTGGGCTCCAACCCCCGGGCTGCCAAATTTGATGGCTGGAGCTGGGATCAATCAAGAAGGCACCTTTCCCTTTATTTTCCCGCCCCCATCTAAAGTCCAGTGTTTGGAAATGACAGAGAAGCTGAGATGTCCCTGAGTCTAAGCCATTTGTCCATGGAGAGAAAGGGAGGAAAGGCCTGCTTCTACCCTCTCCATGTAACCCTATTCCAGCACTGAATTCCAAGGTACGCCCCTGACTCCCAGCTCTGATTGCATCACCCAGAGAGACAGCCCAATAAAGAAACCAGTGAGTACGATGCAGGTAAACTGAACCCCATTGCAGTCAGCAGCATGGAAACTCTGACACTCCCTAGACTCTACTGGGTTGTGTTTGCCACCCCCGCCCCATTTAATGGGAAAGTCCACAAACCTGTGGGTGGAGAGGTTTTATTCCCTCTTGGGTGACCTTTGTTTTCTCCTCTTCCTCAGAATCTGTAACCCAAAAGTTGCCTGCTCTTCAGAGGAATCTGTTGATTTGAGGGGATATTGAAACTGAAGGATAGTTCTAGATTCCATAGTTTAGTTCTCAAGGAAAGTGGGAAGAAGGAAACTGTGCAAGCCACGCCTGACCAGCCTTAGACTTGACCTCTGCTCCCAGTTCCCCTGTGTATAAGGGTCAGCCCAGGACTCCTACCTGACCTGCCTCTATGTGCTCAAAGAAGGAAACTTCTTTTTTCCAGGTGTGGGAAGGGGCAGAAAGGCCCTGGCTGATAACAGACTTCCCAGCTTACTGTCACTTCTATTTCTTTAGGCACCCCAGCCACAAGCCCAGAGGGGAGGTAACCACCTGGACTGTGAGAAACCTTAAAACCCTGCTCCCCTTCCCAATCCTGAAGCAGGGTCTGTCCTGCGTTTTTTAAAATTCTGGACAGTTTTCCTGACTGCAAAGTGGTAAGAAAGGACACGGACACCTCAGGAGAGCTGTTCTGCTCTTGTAAACTTTCTCCATCCTAAAGCACTGGGTTGGATGGGAGCGCCCTAGGCACCCGGAGTGCCAGCAGGAGAACCCCGACACAAGCCGGAGGGCAATGGGTTTCTGGGGGGAAATTCCAGGGGCTGGGGGCCTCAGCCCCCCAGTGCGGGTGGGGGAACTGGGGCGCTGGTGGGAGAGGGTGAGGAGCCCCTAGACGCTGGCTGTGCCAGAGGAGCTGGGGCATTGGGTCGGGTGGAGAAGCTGCCCAGATGTGCGCTCGGGTGTGGTTCTGGTGCTGCCAACTCGCCTGCCAGCGCCAGCGCAGAAAAGCAGCTCGGTCTCCCTGGACTGACTGGGGCTGCAGGTTCCATACCCGGAGTGTGTGCCTGGAGTTCGGTTATTCGAACCTTTCTCTTGGCCTCTCTCCACCTCTGCCTGCGTCTCATTCTCTTTTCGGAATTAATGCTAGGAACGGCTCTTTCCGGGACGATTCCGCCTCCCGCCTGAGGCTGCGCTGGCCAGGAGGCCAAGGCTGTGAGGTCAGGTCCCGCCAGGGCCGAGGGAGCCCCCAAGTCCTTTTGGGGACCCGCATGCCAGT